AAAAAAAAAAAACAAAACAATTTTATGGTATTATTTAAAACAAGCCACCCAAAGGCCAAAGGTCTCTGTTAATTCTGTTTTTTTTTGATAATGTTGTGTCATTGCCAGACAAACACTTCCCTACCTCTTTATTGCTGTCCTTCAAGGAAGATGTACAGAACCTTTAAAAACTGCATTAAAGAGCATTTAAAGTAATCATTTTGGAAGTTCTGTCTGTGAAATTGGCTACAATAATCATCATGTGTTTGTTTCATTTAATTGTTATTGATTTCTTTGGCCTTTGAAATACAAATCCTCATTCATCTGGAGATTAAAATGTGGAAAAGAAGCAGCAGGGCTGTACTGTTTCCACTGGGTCAGCCCATTAGGTGAAATCCACCATCTTCTCCTCTGCTTGAGCGTGGACTTTCTGTTTTGCAAGTTCTTGTGATCCGTAACAGGTTTGTTTGGGTTTTTTAAGGATGAAATTCTGAAAGCAGCTGTGATGAAATATGGCAAAAACCAGTGGTCTCGTATTGCTTCTTTATTGCACAGAAAATCAGCAAAGCAGTGCAAAGCCAGATGGTAAGTGGGAAATGCCGTGTCTGGGAATATGAGATTCATAATTTGTGGGAATTTAGAGGTGACCACACATTAATTTATGTCCACGGAGAGACAATAGTTTTAAGATTGCTTGATTTCTGCTACTGTGGATATTTTGAATTCCTGTTGAAAGTGATGTGAACAAAAGCAGCCAATTGATCTCTTTGCAACTGACTGCAGTGTTAGCAAATGCAGGATCACTTAAAATTGTGTACGTCATATTTTTCCTGTATTTACATACTTTTAATTAAAGTGAGTATTTCCAATGAAGTGAAATTGGAAGATACTAATCGCTCTTACAGATAATTTTCTGATTTTTTATAAGCAGGGTTTGGCTTGAGGATAAATGTTTAGAAATTGCACCATGGAATTTAAGTTTATATAAAAAAATAGAAGCTTAAAACTAAGGCGAATACATGCAGGATGAGTCTATTTTAAGAATGGAACTTAGTTTCACAAGTACTGAAGTGCACATATTCATTAGAATACTTCTGTATAAAAACCAAAAAGTTTGTCATTTCTGGTACTTTGGTTGTTGCAATTTTTACTTTTCTTTTTCTGGATTAATTTTACGAGTCCTTACTTTGCCAGAATAGAGACAAGGAAAGCAAGAAGAGGCAATATCTGTATAAAAAGTGGTGGATAAACAATACATTTTCAAGTTCAAATACATATGTCATAAAAACACTCTCAAGTAATATCCTTTTGTACAGAAAAAACTTGTGTGAAATTTGCATGGCAAGATTTTGAAATCTCCTTGTGATGATTTGGGTCAACAGTGTTCTGAATTAATTCAAGGCAGCATATCAGTGGATAGTGTGGAACTATCCTTCTTAATTTTTTCACTTTTTCACAGGTATGAGTGGCTAGACCCGAGCATCAAAAAGACAGAGTGGTCACGAGAAGAAGAGGAGAAACTGTTGCACCTGGCCAAGCTCATGCCAACCCAGTGGAGAACCATTGCCCCAATTATTGGGAGAACTGCTGCACAGTGTTTGGAACACTATGAATTTCTGCTGTGAGTTACTGGTTTTTGCTAGAGCTGCATACCAGGAAAATCTGGGGAGTTTGTTGTAGCGATGTGTCATTCACTTCTCCCATGGTGCTGAAGTACGGTGGTTTCAAGTTGACCGAGTCCTTTTGTAAGCAAGTCCTTAAGGACTGTTTCTTTGCAGTTGATGTGTCTCGCTTGAAAGAAACACCTCCTGAAACCTGAAAGAGCAGACTTGATTAGAGATACATGTATGTTTTCTTGCTTCTGCTCGTTCTGGCTAGAGGAGTGTCAAGATTGATGCTTTTTATGAGCTTCTGTTTAGGGTTTATTTGGGTATTTTTTAACTAGTTGATCAGCATGAGTGAGTGTGTGAGAGAGAAGAAACAAGACAGGCGTGCAGACATAAAGCATGTGTTGTTGAAATGGCTGAAGTGCAGCCGTCATGTCTATGCTACGGAGGGTTTCCCTAGGCCGTGAGAAGAGAAGGAAAGCGCTGTCTTCCCTTGTAAGCTTTCTTAATTCTGGTGTGATTGGTTGAGTATAAAAGCATAATGGGAAACTTGATTGTTTTATTACACTGCTTAAATTCTTGTCCCTAGTGTTAAAGATTACCCAAGGAGAGTTCTCTACTATTAACTTTGTGGATATTGTATTTTGTATAATATTTTATTGTTATAATGCAATACTATATTGGCTTCTTTCTCTTGTCTAATTTAAGATTATGTAACTGCACCATGTTCATGAATCTTTTCTGCAGTAATTATCTAACAGGTTTAATATGTGATACATAGTACAAAGTTACTTTTTGGCTCAGGATTTTGGGACACTTAAGGGATGGCTGTTACGAGCCTGGGGGAAAACAAAGAGCCAGTTGTGACATACATAAAATGGGCTTTTAGGGACAAAGCTGCACAGAGAGACAATGAGGAAGAAACTGCTGACGATCCTCGGAAACTTAAACCTGGAGAAATTGATCCAAATCCAGAAACCAAACCAGCCAGGCCAGATCCTATTGACATGGATGAAGGTAAGATAGGAATTTGTTTACCATTTTTGACAGCAGTCTGATCGCTTTGGTTTTTCTTTTTACACAGCCTCTGTACCCTGGGTTTCTTTTGTCTTTTTTTTTTTTTTTAATTCCCTCTCCAG